GACATATACAGCCCTAATTGAAGGCCACCCCTCCCTGCGGTTCAGCCAAGGCATCCTGGTCGCCAGAGTTCTGGCTGATGTAAAGAAAGGATGTGCCCCAGTAAGGGTGATGAACCTCTCCGAGCATGCTATCACTATCAAGCCTCACACACATCTGGCCAAGGCATCACTGGTGGGAAGTATTGTGGACTTTTCAGACAGGATGCAGGGCAGTCATCATATTAGCGGAGGTGGAGAAGCATGTCTGGGTATGGGCCATGTGGTGGCAAGCCAAGAAGTGGATTTAAGTGGAGCAGACGTCGAGAACGAGCACCAGCGCTCCCTTCTTAAAGAGCTTGTGGAAAGGATCGTGGGTGTGTTCTCACAACACCCCATGGATTACGGCCATACAAAGACTGTGCAACATGAAATCCCTCTGGTTGACTCTAAGCCATTCCGACTGCCTTACCGTAAGATCCCCCCATCACAGTGGCAGGATGTGAGAAGGTTGCTGACAGAAATGGAGGCAGCAGGAGTTATCAGGCACAGCAAAAGCCCGTACGCTTCACCTGTTGTGATCATAACCAAGAAAGATGGATCACTAAGGCTGTGTATTGACTACAGGAAACTGAACTCCTGTAGCACGAGAGATGCTTTTCCTCTCCCCAGAATAGAGGAAGCCCTGGAGGCTCTAGGCCAGGCAAGATACTTCTCCACCCTTGACCTCACTTCTGGTTATTGGCAGGTGGAGGTGGCAGAGCATGACAAACACAAGACGGCATTCAGCACCCCCATGGGACTGTTTGAAGCAAATCGTATGCCTTTTGGACTACAGAATGCTCCCTCCACCTTCCAGAGACTCATGACCTGCTGCTTTGGTGATCTGAACTTCACCAACCTCCTAATCTATCTTGATGACCTCATCATATTCTCCAAAACCTTTGATGAGCATCTGGAAAGACTGCAGCTGGTGTTCGATCGGCTTCGGGAGCATGGCTTGAAGTTAAAGCCTTCTAAATGCCAGCTAGTGAGAAGGGAGTTTCAGTATCTGGGCCACTTGGTGTCTGCTGAGGGGATCCGGACAGACCCAGAGAAGATCAACAAGGTGAAAAACTGGGTGAGGCCCACAAATCGCAAAGAAGTGTTGCAATTTCTGGGGTTTGCTGGATACTATAGGCGGTATGTAAGTGGGTACTCTACCCTAGCTGCTCCCCTGTACCGCCTAACCACGGGTGACCCCAGAAAGAAAAAGAGAGGGGGAAAGAACAGTCTGGCCACCATTCCACCCTTTTTGTGGACAGATGAATGTGAGAAGGCATTTCGGACCCTAAAAGAAAGACTGACAAGCGTTCCAGTGCTAGGATATCCTGACTATAGCTTGCCTTTTGTTCTGCAGATGGACGCCTCAGGGGAGGGTCTGGGCGCCGTTCTAGCTCAGGTCCAAGGGGGAGTTGAGAGGGTCATAGCCTTCGCCAGCAGAGGTTTGAGCCCAACAGAGACAAGGTATCCTGCACACAAACTCGAGTTTCTTGGTCTCAAATGGGCGGTCACAGATAAATTCTACGACCACCTCTATGGGCGTAGGTTCTCGGTACAGACAGACAATAACCCTCTCAAGTATGTTATGTCCTCAGCGAAGCTGGCTGCCACAGGCCAGCGGTGGGTGTCGAGGCTGGCTTCTTTCGATTTTGATGTCCGGTATCGGAGGGGACAGAGCAACACAAACGCTGACGCCCTCTCTCGCATGTCTAACCAGGAGGTCATGCACATCCTGCAGACATTCCCTCAGTGGGTGGGTGTCAACGAACAGGGGCAGGGTGTGACACAGGCTACCCAGAAGACTCAAAGCCCCTCTGGCCATGGCGTGCATACAGGGGAGGAACTGGAACTTGGGCCCCCTACATCCACTGAGCCTTACAGGGATGTGGGGATGGAATCCCTGCCCACCATGACCAAACAGGAGATTCGTGCAGGGCAGAAATAAGACCTTGTTATTGGCCCTGTCTTGCACTATAAGAGTATGAACCAGAGACCGCGCCGCAGTGAGCGAAGGAGTGGTGAAGCACACGTGCGCCTTCTCTTAAAGGAGTGGAGAAGGTTAGTGGTAAGGGATGGCATCCTGTACTGCTGCGTCCAAGACAGCCAAAGAGGAGTAGTTGAGCAATTGGTGCTACCAGAGGATTTGCGTATGTCAGTCAAGACTGCTCTCCACAATGCCTCAGGCCATCTTGGTTTTGAAAGGACATTGCACATGAAAAGGGAGAGATTTTTTTGGCCACAGATGTTTCAGGAAATCAAGGCTTGGTGCGAGCAATGTGAGAGGTGCTGCCTTAGAAAAACTCCAACCGCAGGGGTCAGGGCCCCCCTGGTCAGTATCCACAGCAGTGCCCCCTTGGAGCTAGTTTGTGTGGATTTTATGACTCTGGAGAAATCAAAAGGTGGTATCGAAAATATCCTCGTGGTCACTGACCACTTCTCACACTATGCGCAAGCATACCCCACTAAAGACCAAAGAGCCAGCACAGTGGCTAAGGTGCTGTATAGAAACTTTTTCTGTCGGTTTGGCTTCCCAGCAAAATTGCACGCAGACCAAGGGCGCAATTTTGAAAGTGCTGTGGTAAAGGAGCTTTGTAAATGCACCGGCATCACTAAGACCTGCACTACGCCTTATCACCCACAGGGCAATGGTACAACCGAACGGTTTAACCGCACCCTCATGAACATGCTGGGGACACTAGAACCTCACCTGAAGCCCCGGTGGCACGAATATGTGGATGCAATGACACACGCCTACAACTGCACCCGCCATGATTCGACAGGGTACACACCATACTACTTGATGTTTGGCAGGCACCCACGGCTCCCTCTCGATTTGGTGTTTGGACAATCAACCGCTAATGGGTCGGGGGGATATAGCGAGTATGTCCAGACCCTGCATGACTGCTTGTCACGGGTTTATGCACCGGCTAATCAGGCCTCTCGCCAGGCTAAGGGCCATCAGAAAAGATACTATGACCGACACGCAACCAGTCACAGCTTCAGTCCGGGTGACAGAGTCCTGGTTAAAGTGTGTCATGTGGAGGGGCGAAGCAAACTAGGAGTCAAGTGGGAGTCACGTCCATACATTGTGGTGAAGAAACAGCCAGACATGCCGGTGTATGTGGTGCGATCGGAGAATGGTGATACAGAGAGAGTGGTCCACCGCAACCTACTCACACAGTGTATGTTTCTTCCCATGGAGCAGGTGGGAGAGGAGGCAAGGGAGGAAATGGAGCTTGATGTGGAGGAGGTTCATGGAGGAGAGGTTGTTAGACACAGAGGACAGTGGAGAGCAGGCTGGTGAAGAAATCAGACAGGAGGAAGAGTCGGACACAATCAAGGACGGGGAGGCAGATAGCCTGGAAGGGGGTGTGGAGGGAATTTCACCTGAAGCATCAAATACATCTCTTGCCCCCACAGGACCAGAGGAAAGGGACACAGAGGCAGGACAAGGGAGTGAAGAGGGGAGGGGGAATGAAACTGCCAGGGGCACCCCCTCATCTCCCAGACCAAGTGAACCAAGGAGGAACTTGCCGAGGAGTCGGCAACCCCCAAAGAGACTGACTTATGGGTCAAGAGCTATTGAACCAAGGAAGGATTAGAAGAAGATAGAAAGGGGATGGAAGCTGTGGCAGAGGGCAAAAGCAAAGAGGGCTGCAAGAAACATGTAGGAATACAGCCAGTGTACCCATACTAATAGGATACACACATAGACATTGTTGCATTATACTGCGCATCTTCCACCACCGCTATTCTTATATACATTTTGAGACTGTTCTGTTTTGTTTTGTTGGATGACCGGGACGCCATCACTTAAAGGAGGGGCGGATGTAAGGCAGTGACTGGAATAAGTCACAAGGTGTCGCTGTTGAGCTGGATATATATTGTAGATTTTAGCAATTTTGACCATTTGTCCTCTGCAGAACACCGTAGTTCAATTTTATCGTTCGCGCGGGCGCCATTTTGGGTTCAGTGTTTACTGTGATTTGTAAAGGCCAGCAGCGGAGTCGGAGTGGTGTTTGCCCCATCATCTAAATAAAGAAAAAGACGGTGCGGTCCGAGCCACAAATTGAACGCCTGTGTCTGACTGGTCTCTCTATTGTGCACCCCAATCCAACACAAAATTACACAACGCAGAGTCTGGGGTGTAGGGAGGCCCCTGCACGGGTTGGGTTACATAAATAAAGGTGGTATGGTATGGTACTGTATGGAAGACACTGCCACGTTTCATCTTCAAAGCTCTCACTGATGGAAGGAGGTTTTGGCTCAGAATCTCACGATTTATGGCCCCATTCATTTTTTCCTTAACACGGATCAGTCGTCCTGTCCCCTTAGCAGAAAAACAGCCCCAAAGCATGATGTTCCCACCCCCATGCTTCACAGTAGGTATGGTGATCTTGGGATGCAACTCAGTATTCTTCTTCCTCCAAACACGACGAGTTGAGTTTATTCCAAAAAGTTCTACTTTGGTTTCATCTGACCACATGACATTCTCTCAATCCTCTGCTGTATCATCCATGTGCTCTCTGGCAAACTTTAGACGGGCCTGGACATGCACTGGCTTCAGCAGCGGAACACGTCTGGCACTGCAGGGTTTGATTCCCTGCCGTTGTAGTGTGTTACTGATGGTGACCTTTGTTACTGTGGTCCCAGCTCTCTGCAGGTCATTCACCAGGTCCCCCCGTGTGGTTCTGGGATTGTTGCTCACCGTTCTCATGATCATTTTGACCCCACAGGATCTTGCGTGGAGCCCCAGATCGAGGGAGATTATCAGTGGTCTTGTGTGTCTTCCATTTTCTGATAATTGCTCCCACAGTTGATTTTTTCACACCAACCTGCTTGCCTATTGTAGATTCACTCTTCCCAGTCTGGTGCAGGTCTACAATTCTTTTCCTGGTGTCCTTCAAAAGCTCGTTGGTCTTGGCTATAGTGGAGTTTGGAGTCTGACTGTTTGAGGCTGTGGACAGGTGTCTTTTATACAGATAATGAGTTCAAACAGGTGCCTTTAATACAGGTAACGAGTAGAGGACAGAAAAGCTTCTTAAAGAAGAAGTTACAGGTCTGTGAGAGCCAGAGATTTTCCTTTTTTGAAGTGACCAAATACTTATTTTCTACCCTGATTTACAAATAAATTCTTTAAAAATTCTGCCATGTGAATTCATGGATTTTTTTTTTTTCACATTCTGTCTCGCACAGTTGAATTGTACCTATGATGTAAATTATTGACCTCTGTCATCATTTTAAGTGGGAGAACTTGCACAATCGGTGGTTGACTAAATACTTTTTTTGCCCCACTGTATATATAAATACACACACACACACACACACACACACACACACACACACACACACACACACACACACACACACACACACACACACACACACACACACACACACATATACACATGTATAATAGTAACAACAATAAATCTCCCAAAATGCTAATTTGTAAGATTCCTTTGCTTTGTAGTGCTTTAGCCTGCTGAGAGCTTAAAAGTTAAAGATTGTTACTGACAGCAGCTACATCTAAGTGTTTATTCATTTTCCTTTTGACTGAATAGTTGCTGATTTTATCTTGGAGACGTTTCTCCTCACATAAGCTTCAGATCTAAAGCTTGGGTTGTGAGTAGGAGGCTTAGAAGTTATGGTCATAAACAAACATGCTGATTGTGATGGAAGTTTTTATTGTTCCTAAAGTAGAAATATGTTTTTATCTAAATGAAGTTCATGTTCTTGTTCCCTTTTCCCACATCTTGTAGCCAGTATCACTCATGGTGTAAATATAAAGGTATAGTGGTCTGTAACATCATGTCTGTGTTTCCTACAGATGTTCCACAGCTGGTGCTGGTTAAAGAAGAAGATCCTGAAGAACAGAGTGCTGGTGTGGACCAGCAGGACCCAGAACACCTCCACATAAAGGAGGAACAGGAGGAGCTCTGGACCAGTCTGGAGGGAGAGCATCTCTGTTTGAAGGAGGAGACTGAAGCTGTCAGGTTTCCTGTTACTGCTGTTTCTATAAAGAGTGAGGATGATGAAGAGAAACCTCTGGTCTCACAGCTTCATCAGCAGCAAATAGAAGACAGAGATGTTCCAACCAGCAGCTCAGCTGACCAGATGACAGCAGAAACTGGTGGAGGAGCAGGAACTAGCAGGAACCCAGATCTATACCCTCATGATCAATCATCTGCTTCTTCAGAGACTGAAGTTAGTGGAGATGATGATGATGATGATGGTGTGAATCTGGACTCTGAGCTGTCAGACTCTGGGTCTGAAACTGGAGATGAAGATGATGATGACTGGAATGAGAGCAGGCCTTCTGAGTCAGATGGTAAGTCTGTCAACAAGTTCTTCACAAGTGGTCTCCAGAGACACGTGAGGGAGACAAGTCATCCAGCAGTCAGGTCTTCAGGCTGTTTGGTTAATAAGAAATGTGTTAGAGTGAAGCAACATGTAGACTCGTGCAGGAAAGTCCAGAAGAAACCTAAATCATTTAGTCATGATGACTGTGGAAAAAGGTTTACTACAAATGTAAATAAACAAATCACATGAGAGTCCACACATAGCAGCTGCTGTTACAGAGTATGGGCCAGCCTCATCCCACCCATACTCTGCTTCTGGACGCTAACAGGATTAGCAAAACCATATAATATACAGAAAACATCAGTAGAGTTTATTGTGTAACAATGTGTATTTACATCTTACGTATGAACCATAAAATGTGAGATTCCATAAAAATATGAAATATCAATCTGATGTGCTGCTCAATTAATCGAATTTTAGTCACGATTACGATCTGAGTTTTGAACGATTATAAAAAACAAAACAAGCCGATTATTTGCTCCTCCCACTTGCGCTGCCCTGAGTTGCAAATGAAGCGCTCCTCCCACAGTGTTGCCAACTTGGCAACTTTGACGCTATTTCTAACAGCTTCTCAGACCCCCTTCTTGACTTTTTAAATCTTAAAAGTACCTAGCGAACACCTCCGAAACATCTCTGGTAACCCTTAGCTACTTTCTGGATAACTGTCGTCGACGTTTCCTGCAGGTTAGCGAAACACTCCGCCTGCGCTCCGGACCGTTCTTCACAACATTAGGAAAGGGATTGATGTAGTGATGTGTCGGTCGCTAAAGAAACAGCTCTCGGAGCCGGCTCCCTGTTGGATTAACCAGAGTGAGTGACACACACCGCATCTGCGGACTCCTGAGCCGCTAAAAACGGCTAAATGTGCGTGTGCGGCGCGCTAAACACACGTGCAGCTTGCCCCGATTGCTGAGACCAGGTTGGGGGGTGGGGGGTGCAGCTGTGGTTGGGACATTTATTACATTAACTGATGGACTTGTACATACATAGTTTATTAATAAGGTAGAAATAGATAGAAGTAAGTTCCTCACGCTGATACATAATAACTAATCTCTGAGGACACTGTGCTAGTGTATTCTCCTACAGCACCTTGACACAACTTCAATAAATGTTATGCAACATTTTGTGAACATCAATTTATTTGTTATAAATGCCACTGTATAATTCTTGCTGCCAGTGTTTGCAAGATATTGGTATTTGGGTCTGTACTGGTTAGACTTAAATGAGTTAAACCAAGGTCTAAATCCCTTGGGTCATTAACTATGAGCTATAAGTATATTGGTCTTTTTATACTGGGGAATCAGGAGTTATTTTAGTGATCATCTTTTTTCTTATTTATTTTTGTCCTGATTGTGCCCTGAGCAATTTTATGACTGAATAAAAACAAATAAAATCAACATAAATAGAAAAATCGTCCTAAATAATCGTGATCTCAATTTCACTCACCATAATCGTGATTATTATTTTTGCCATAATCGAGCAGCCCTATCAATATGATGGATTCTTGAATATTTTTAACCAGAAGATTAGAACTTTTTATTGCAGAGATTATTTACCACTTAGTATTAACTCAGAGACAAGAGAAAGTGTCAGGTTTAAAAGTTTAAGAAGATTTATTTCTGCACAATTTAAACAAGACTAACTCTAAACACTCTGATAATGATGAATCTAGGTGTGAATGAGACGTGAGATGGATGGTGTGTGCGTGAGTGATGTTGTAATCAGAACTCTCGTATCCGGAGAGGCAAGTTCTGAGTGGGAATGATGTTCCACTCTAAACTATAGTGGGAGTTCCAGAACCACATGCAAACGCCATCCTGTCGGTCTACGTACCCCACGAGAACCTCCGTTGTAGGTCCAGAATGTCAATGGACCCAAAGCTCGTAGAAACAACCGTGGCCTGACCAGATTTTCCTCGAAATGTCCTCAGGTCACGACAAGTTATTATAGGTGTCAGCGAGACCCTGAAGGGGTCAGTGAGTTCAGCTTTTATTCTGAAGGAATCGTTGTGTTCAGGTGGTAACGTGCAACAGATTTTATCCAGCTTGTCAAGGGTCGACGGTTAAAAAGTTACAGGTGGCCGGCCCGAACGCTAGAACTTTTGAACTGAACTAAAGATGTCATGGGAAATAGTTTTATTCATTTGGATGTTTTGATTTACGGTCGAAACAGAATTTGACAGCAAAAGGGGCTTGTTCAAACACCACAGAAAACCATGCCACGCGTCAGAAAGCGAAGGTTCTGATTGGTGAGACAAAAGGAAATGTGTCATGTGATTTAACATTTGCACTTTGTCATGTGTCTAGTGGAAGCTGTGCCAAAATTATAATTACTACTGATTACAGATTATAATTCAAGTAATAACATTGTCATTTCACTCATTGATTGAACATCTGATTTCACACTATAATTGGTAATAACAAACGTTGTTTGATTATATTTATTAAAAGAGTTCTTTGTCCTGAGCTGTAGAGGGAGGCAAGCAAATGATAAGAAACAAGTCTGAAAGCCTTGGCCCAATCTGTTCCCGTCAGATTAGGCAGTTTGAGGGAGACCGGGTGTCTCCTTCCTTGAGCAGACACAGGCCATGGCCTCAGGTCAGAAAACAGGTCATTTCATTACGCTACAATTGAAACATCAGATGAATTTAAAGCTACAGCTGTTTCTGTGAATGAGAAACAGGTAGTATCAATTTATGCAGCTCTACCACGGAGTGGCACAGCGTTGCTGAAGCCGTCAATGTTGTGAATTCTTCACAGAGATCTGTGGCGTATATAAAAAAAAAATGGTCCAATCGGGATTGGATCCCCAGACTCCCGGGTAAAAGTCACGCTTGCTAACCAGTCACCCAAACGGAGATCTCCCTTGTCCAAGTAGCCAGGGCGCATGATCAATCGGCTCACAGTGAACGGACTCGCACTGTCACAGACGCATGACATTCTGTCTCAATCTGTCCACCTGCTGATATTCTGCATTCCGTATTCTGCACTTCAGGCTATGTGATTGTGTGTGAGTGCGTGTGTGTGTGTGTGTGGGGGGGGGGGGGGGGGGGGGGGGGGTCTTGCTCTGTGTGAAAACGAAATAGTACAAGTGACAATGCTGCAGGATTTCATAATTTTATCTCCTCAGCACTGCAGTTGCTCTCTATGTCCAACATGTGCGTAAGCAGGGTCCTTAGTCAACTTAAAGTTGCGCACATTTTTCCGCTAAGTTTTTTTTTCATAAATCCCAAAGTTTGCGTGGAACGTTGCTTACGCAGTTTTCCGACCCCGTTTTGTAGCATAAATGAGGCCCCAGGTGTTTTTCATCAAAGGGCTTGTCCGTGGACTGAGAATCCCGGTTGAAGAATAGACTGGAACGGTTCGAGTCCTCATCCGTTGATCAGGATGGTTTCAGTCTTAAGTTGATGAGTTCCTTGAAGTCCAGGTCTGGAATGCAAGAATGGAGTTTGGGATGTGAAAGCGCACAGTTCAACTTCTCAATAGGGAGACATCAGGGTCCTTCCATGGTGTGTTGAGGTGGTTGTCCACCTGTCAGGTAGCTGATCTTGTCCCCGAAAAGTCCTTCAGATCCTTTGACCGTGAAACCAGGTTGAAGATTGGGTGCAGGTGATTGAAGTAGTTCTCCTTTTCCAGTGTCTCTTCTTCGCTGTGTCCTTTCGTAGTTGCATCCAGGGGGTCTTCAGCCGAGTTGGGTGCAGATTACTTTGTCATGTAATAATAATAATGTTAATAATAAATCTCACAACACACAAAGTTGTGATTTTTTTATTTTATTTTTTTTTTTGCTTTCCTGAAATATTTAGAGTGTTTAGAGCTTTTAATAGTTTAAATCTGTTAGATTGTTACTGGTAGCAGCTACATTTAAGTGTTTCAGTTTTCCTTTTGACTTTTGTGATGCTTCATGCTTCAGCATGTAGGTGTAGATTCTCAGTCATCCTGGACACGTCAACCTAAGAGATTTAATGAAAACATCTGGACGTTTCTGGTTATTAACTCTCATCCAAGAGACATTTTCAGCTCTAAACCTTGGGTTGTGAGCAGGCTTAGAAGTTGTGGTCAAAAACAATCAATCAATCAAAGCTTTATTTATATAGCACCTTCCTCGCGACCCTGTCGAGAAGCCCAAGGCGCTGAACACGGTACATGAGAAATGTGAAACTTGATGAGTAAATCGATAATAAAAGCAATTCAAATAGAGCAAAAGAGGTAAATCGTTAAAGTAGAAGACAAATGGGTAAAACAAGGAATAAAGAGACCAATGAAAGCAGGGAAATAAAATCAACATAAAAGAGGGCCTGACTCAAACACGTTCAGGGAACGCCAAGCGGAGGAGGTGGGTTTTTTAGGCGACTCTTAAAGCCTGGCAGAGATGGGGACAGCCTGACTGAGGGTGGCAACTGGTTCCAGAGTGACAGGGCTAGGACTGAGAAAGCCCGGTCCCCGCGAGCAGGCCCTGGACCGTGGATGAGATTTTAAATCCTTCGTGTGCAGGTGGACTTAAAGCCTCTTTGACTACTGCTGAGAGGTTTCTGACATAATTTATAGGCAAAACTGAAACTATTCAAGCTCAAATTCCCCAGCAATTTAGTTTTATTGATGAAGATATATGTTTTGATTCAACTACTTTGAATTCTTTTGACTCTGTATCCCCAGATATGTTGGATGAAATTGTTGGAAGGATGAAACCATCCAGCTCTGCACTCGACATCATTCCATCCTCTATTGTTAAGAATGTTTGGCCAGCTATTTCAAATATGGTTCATAATGTAATCAACGCTAGTCTGCAGTGTGGGGAAGTTCCAAAGAGTCTGAAAAGAACTGTAATCAAACCCCTTCCTAAGAAACCCGGTCTTGATGTCTCTGTATTATCCAATCATTGACCTATTTCTACGCTGCTATTTCGTTCTAAGGTTCTTGAGAAAGTCGTTTTTAAGCAATTGTCAGACCATTTAGATAATAACAAATT